GCTGCTGATGATGATGGCAGCCTTTCACCGCCACATGAACCTGCCGTTTATGTTGCCGTTGTTGTCCTCGTGTGTCCGCCGCGCTCAGAGCAAACATAATTTTCACAATCAGGCAGAGAATCTCGCTCGCTAGCTAAATCTTTGCCTTCGACTCTTCTTTGACTCTGCCTTTGCCTTTGACTCCGACTCGAAATCTTCTTTTGGCGCTTTCACATGACTCATAACAAGCCAAAAGCATTTTGTGAGCAACGTTTAAAATGCAAAAGCACAGCAGAAGCGGACAAAGCTACAGCTACAAATATCAAAATCGCGTTCGCCCAAAAAAAAAAAAAGGAGTGCATATAAAGCAGAGAAGAATCGAATTTTTAATGCACTTTCAATTGGAATGCAACATAAAAGTCAATAACACTTTGTCAAAGGATATTTTGGTCATGTCTAGGTTCGCATTGCGCATACGTATGTGTGTTTTCTTTAATCCATACTTGAAAGTATATACATATATGTATATTCATATATATGCCTATACCTATTTACAGAATGCAACTAAAGCATTTGGTGCTTCAGTTGATCTGGTTTAATGAGGATATTAATATTAATACTCATAACACAAATAATTATGTAAAGGAGGTCTCACAAAAGAGCGGGAACGGCACTCCGACGGGAGGCGGAGCAAGAGTTGCTCGACCTCCCTGACAAAGAGCAGGCTCGCTCTTGCCGAAGAAGCTTTGATCTGAACTGAGCAACTTCTTTGCTCAGATGTTTTCTCCTATCTACAGTAAAAGAAGTTATACTTCATTTATTCTAAATTGAATTGTACAACGTTTTGAGACAAAGCGGATGTTTAAACCATTTTAAATGTATTTTTTGAGGCTTTAGCTGAGTAAAAATCTAAACAAGCATATATTTTCAATATCGAAAATTTTAATATGAAAAAAATATTATTATTAAATAATATATTTTAATATTAAGCATAGGCGGCAACTGATGCCAAGAACTCTGAGCCAGAAAACTTTTGGCTAAGAACAACTCTTCAAATTATATTTTACAAATTAAATAACATATCGATAGTTTGATTCATTTCCTGTCGTTACCAACTTTGACACATATTCAACATGCCCAGCGCAAAAGTGCATATAATAAAAAAAAAACAAAGCAGAAAAAAACAGAAAAAAATTCTGAATAATTCGTGATCTACAGGCGCAAAAAGAGGGTCACGTTGTTTTGTTGCTGCTGCTGCCGCTGCCGCTGCTGCCTGGTATAAAAGATGAAGATGAAGACGAAGGCGATGACGATGCTGTTGACCGAGGCCGCGCTGTAAGCCACGTATGAGAGTTTTGGCCAAGTTGGTCTCCTCCGTCCAGTTGTGCCTTCTGTCCGATCGAGCGCACGCTGCACTCCAAACACGATTTCAAAATATTTCGCATAAATAAGTTAGTGTAACACACGAGAGAACTGTGCCCAAGTCCAAGACCAAGTCCAAGCCCAACAGCCGAAGCGTTGATCACACGTTCACATTATTTGATGATCGCACGATATGAAAAAAACCAAAAACAACAACAACCACAACAACAACAACAACAACAACTGTTAAGGAAAGCAAAATTCGTAGTAGCTGTTCGCTCAATATTTCCATACACCCCATAGCCACATGATCGTGATAATCCATTATTAATGCCAATCAGCATAGAATAACAACAACAACAACAACAACAGGAACAACAGCAGTAGCTTTCTGCAGTAGCTTCCCATAGAGATTATGATCGTGGCGCCCATTTCCTGTGGCAAGCCGTACCGCACCACCCAACGGGGGCAACCCACCCGCTACCCGTAGCGTGCATTGACATGAGCAATTCGTAAGTTTGTCGCCTGCCTGAATGCCAGCTCTGCAAGCAGGCAACGCGGCTAAAACAAAATTTGCATGCAACCAAACGCTGCTCACCTGGTGGTCGTCTCTCCACAGTCATTGCGGTTGTTGTTGTTATTGTTGTTGTCATTATGTGGGGTTGCAGTTGCAACTGTTGCAACTGTTGCAGGACCTCCCACATGCAGCTCGATTGTTTTGTTGCGGTTACTGCTACCGTTTGCCCAGTTGCTTCATCATTCTCCCCCCCACCTGCTGCACCACCCGCCTGCTCTGCCCAACTTGTCCATTTTTGGTCTCATAATTGTACGAAATTTAGTTCGCATGCCCTTGCGGTCGCCTTTGGTTCCTCTCTGGCAACGCGAAGGCAGTTACGTCTTTTGTTTTCTGTTTTTGCTGTTTGTTTTTTTTTTTGCCTTAACGGGCGGAACAATAAATGTTTCGGTCCGGTTCGGCTTGTGTTGTTGCCTGCCACATTTTGGGCATTCAAATGTGGCAGCAACTTTCGCGAAATGAAAACTTCAATTTTTTATCGAGTGCATTGCTCATAATTACCAAAAGCCCAAAAGCAGCCGCTGCTCTTGGCTCTCGGCTCTCAACTCTGACTGTGGATCTGACTCTGACTCCGAGCTGGGCTTCGGTTGTAGCTGTTATTGCTTTGGGCCCAACTCCTGCACTCGATATTCAATTTTGCATTTTACAACAAATGCGTGCCTTACCATATTTAGTTGGCGTGCAAAAATAAGCCAAGTCTCTTAGCAAACTGTGTGAGCGGCGGCGGGCGTCAATCGCGGGAGAGGGGGAGGGGTAAGCACAGAGGCAGCTCGTGCATTGTGCTTATCATTTACATAGCTTAGCATTTTGATGACCCAGCCATTTGTGCAACACTGTGGCATAGAGCAGGCTGACTGGTGCCTGCCCCAGCAACAGCAGCAGCAGCAGCAAAAAAATTAATTTCAAATTAAATTTATGGCGCCGCAACGTCAGGCAAGGAAAGCGTCGCCCATGGATGTGAATGTGGTTGTATATGTGTGTGTTGGTGTGTGGCAGATGTGAACCGTGTGCAACTGTTGGCCACCGCAGCAGCTTCAAGTGATTTATAACTGTTTGGCGGAAAGCTTACCCCCTCGTAAAAGTTCACCACAGAGATTCAGGGAGTCGGCGAATTGAGTGAGCTGCCCCTGTCGCCTGATGGGGATATGCCACGCATTTGTGACCACTCATCTTGGCGAGCTATAAATGTCCAAATGAGTTGCCAGCAAGACCATCAAGCAACCGACCACAGCCACTGCGCGACGCGACGCGACGAGTCCAGCACAGAATGCAGAAAATCACTTTGTTGTAGTAGCTGCTCTTAATCGTTTTGGAATTGCTTTATTAATAGAACAATTGTCGGAATTAAAGGCCAGGTCAGGGCACTTGATGGTCCTTTTTTTTCTTTCTTGTTTTCAATTTTGTCATAAATGTTGCCCCCAAACGTTCAGCTTCATTGAACCAACGACATTGGCCAGTTGCAGCGCATATCAGTTGGGTATATTGATTGGTGAAGGGCCTTGAAAAGATGCCTTCAACGGACCGAAAAGTTTTCTAAGAGGCTCCAAACAAAATTATGTAATATTAAAGAATTTACAGATATTCCTGAGATCGAAGTCTTCGACTATTTGACTATGGCTCATCTAATTGTGAATGCTCGTGTCATTGCCTTGTATATTCTGACAACTAAATAAAATATATTTCAGTTCCTTAACTAAAACTCTGAACATCTTGACTTGCAAGGCATTGGAGCTGTCGCCTAGGCAGGGCAAAAATCTCTGTTAACCTGCACATCTGACAGCTCGATGCTCGCGAGCTTGCAATTCAGCATGACACTTGATGCCTGATGCTTTAAGTGAATAATTGCCAACAACAAAAAATAAATAAAATAAAATAAATAAAAAAAAAGGAAAAGAAGCAGATGAAGAAGCAGTAAAACAATGCTAAGCTACACACATATGCATGAACTGATGGCCAGCAATGATGACCAGCCGTTAAAGGCCAACAAAACCAGGCCAGATACAGGCGTAGCCAGCTCCAGATGTGTGGCAAGCAATTAGAATGAAGGGGGCAAGGATGCACAGGCAACAAACAGACACACAGACAGACGGCTGCCGCTGAGCTTGCAACATATTTAACACTCCCTTTTGATAACGTAAACTAGAGAAAAAAAACGCATAGTCGACGCATTGTCGCCGGCTGCTGCATGGTGGTCATTTGCCTCGGGGTGACGATGTTGCAACATGCCTGTTGCCTGTTGCCTGCTGCCGCTTAAGTGATTTGTTCAGCGAACTCAGCGCGCTTTCCCAAGGGAGTGTGTGGGGTGTAAAGGGGGGGCAACTTCATTAATATGTATGCTGGCTGGCTGGCTGGTTGGCCGGCTGTCCGCTTGTCCTGCTTGTCTGTGGCAATGTGGCTCTGACTGCGTTTGCAAAGTGCAAACTGTTTAATTGCGGAATAATTGTTTTGCACACATAACCTCGCACCGTTGCAAATGGACCTGACCAGGCCATAAAAAGCATATTAAGTGCGAATTAATGACCACAAAAGGCTTACCAGACCGCGCTCACTTCTTGGCCAGGTCCGAACTTAACTCAACTCAATGCGGCAAAAAGCGGAGCACACACACACACACACACAGAGAGATTTCGCCATAAGTCGGCCCCTGAAGCTGAGGCTCCTTCACTGGCGATTAAGTCGCCTGCTCCAAGTCCATTCGCCACTTAAGTACAGTCATTTAATTAGTCTTTAGTTTTAATGTATTTGTATTACAATTTATTAGCGCTTACGGCTACTCAACATGAGCCCAGAACGTCGACTTCTGCCATTTAAAAAGTATCTTGAGCGAGTGCCATTATCCAGAAACCTTGAGCTAGTCGGCTCTTCAGTTGACACAGCATCAGCTCTGGAATGTTTGCTCCTTGAAAATTCAATTTTCTACCTTATAATTCAGAAGATCTTGAAGTGAATCTATCTCAAGTCAACAGACGAAAAGTTGGTCTATCCTAAACGTTTTCATTTTATGTTCCATCGTTTATAAACTTTATACAAAATATTATGTAAAATGTAAGCTTATACATAAACGTTTATGTTTCCTCCATTCCAGCACAAATGACCCAAAACTTCGGCTACTTAGTTTATCTTTAGTAGTGCTGGTTCCGTAACTGGCAATAACAAAATGGTCTCAATCTATCGTATCGGTAAGTGCTATAAACATTTTGCTTATCTAAACCAAAAACTACTTTGTAAATATGTATATTTGGGGATTTTTGTTTTTGTTGCAATTGAGACCTGTTGAGATCTGTTTCGGCCAGCCAATAGATCAGGTTTGTTCATTTGCCGCATGCATATTTATTAAATACACGTTGCGTAGACTATTTGGTTGGAAATCCATTTGTTTAAACGATATCAATTCAATCGCTGGCTTATTGACTCGTAACAGCTTTTTCTCGAGCGATTCAAAGGCGAGCTTGTTATTTTTTCTATAACAAATTCTTGCATTAATTTCAAATCAATTTTCTTCACAGCTAAAGGCCCTTATCTTATTGTATATAGAGAGATCCCAAAAAGGCAACAACTGAAAACTGCACCGAAACGAACAAATTTACGTTCGAAGCGTGGCCTAAACAAAGGAACTTCATTGTTTCATCGCGACTGTAAAAGAGATTTATGCGTCCAAGTGAAATCATTTATCATGCTTAATTAAAATTGAAATGTTTAGCTGGCTGACTTCTTCCTCTTCATCTTCACGTTTCGGCTGCTCCCAATGGGGGGAACTCTATACAGCCAAGGCAGGAGGGCAGTCAGGCAGCTGGCAAGCCTTCTCTAATGCCAACATTTTCTTACATTTGTTTTCTACACCTTTTCATATTATTTGTTGACACATTGTTACACAAAATGCATTTAACCGGTTTTATATAAACGTATATAGCAGAAAGATTCTTCGAGCTTCTTTCCACAACTTGTTTCATTGTATTCCCAACACTCTCTCTCTATCATATTCATGTATTTAGCGGTGCGTTTCCAATGCAAAGTGGCCGTTTATCTTTTAATTGTAACAGTCTGTGGCATTAATAAATGCACAACCTCGGGCTGTCATAAATCGTAAGATAATAGTCTGAATATATTAGTGATATCTGCAGAGATTTGCATTATAATAGGATCGTGTATGTGCGTTGCGTCGGTTGCAGCTTCAGCTGTAATTTCTATGGCTCCCAAGTCAGTTATATATATATAAATACATATATATATATAGCATTTCTTATCACCAGTAGCATCGATTCTCTATTGTTCTATTCAATTCAAAGTCAATTAAGAACTAGTTCTCACCCGGTAACAATTTGAAAACCCAAACTATTAGCCCCAGTATATCAAAGGTTCGCTCTATAGAAAAACTCTGACAGTGAATCATTTGGCACTTTTTGTGTTTTTATTTTCAAATTAATGCATTCTCTCACTTAGCACCTGTTTCTATGGAACTCAAAAGCGAAAATCAGTCATTAAATCAATTAGCGAAAAATCTATCAATTTGCAATGTAGATCGCACGTCACAGAAATTCACAGAAATTTGTTTTAACATTAGGCTACAGTTAAGCTATTATACATTGAACCCATTTACATTTTTATAAACCTAACCTGATTGAAAGCGATCGTTGCCATAATAGTTGCACATATTTTGTTGTTGTTATTGACGTTTTAAGCTATTGTTTTTGATACCCTGTACTCATGGAAATGCATGAGTAGGGTAACATCTTACCCATTTAAAGGGTTTCACTTCTTTTTTGGCCTTTTTATTGTTCACAAAAATTAAGCACAATAATAATTAATGAAAGAAAAATAACAATATTTAGTTATTTATTGGCTCTTAATATTACTTGCCTGAAATTGGCAGAATTCGAATTATTAAGCTTAGATTTAAGTGCAGAATATCTCAGAGTCAGGCACTTCTATATCTTAACTGTTTGTTGTTGCTTTTAACTTTTTTTCTTGTTGTATAAGGTGTGTTACAGCCAAGCTTCAGTTAATGCACACACAAACACACTCATACACGCGTGTTGTGGATCGACTCACCAAGTTGGCAAGTTAAAGTTCAATGATGTCATTACGACTAATTCACACCTATGTTTGAATTCTGAGTACGCGATTGTTTGTGTATTTATGCATCGATACATATATATTAAAATAAATACATATTTTTTTTTGCCAACTGCGATCGAAATCTAAATAAATTTAGCATTTAATAATAGCGTCATATATAATCATACAGCAACCCGTTGTGCCTAATAACTTTATTTGTCGAAATGAAATTGTTATAGCAGCAACGCCTAACGAGGGGCTGAATGTCGACCACCCGCTGCTATTAAAAATTCTAGTTAATTGATTGCAGCCCAAAATGTATTATTTAATGCTGATTGGTGGCTTGGTGGCTGGCTATAGCAACTGGCAATCCGCTCGAAGCTGGAAGCTGCTAAATAAAATATGAGTTCTACGCAAGTTTGTTGCCTAAGTCTTTTGTTTTGTGGCATCTCAAAGCGAAATGTCAATGAATTCTTTGTATGTCTCTTACAGTTAACTTATGCTAAATCGGTTCAAGCCGAGTAACAACTACAATTCGACGCACCTCCTCCCCCACCCCTCCGCCCCAGACAACACATCCACTTTTGTGTTCTTGTTGTCATTGGAAATTAACACCCGAAGACCCAAAAAAAGAGAAGAAGTTAATTTAAATCAATGCGCAAACTCTTGTTGGGAACCGCTTAACTCGTGCGTTGCTGAAACAAATGCCAATCTATAGGCATGTGTGACGCTCCCGCCCATCCCCCTTTCCCCGCTGTCCCACTCCCCACTTGTTTGCTGGGCTCCAAAAAGTGTTAAGTATGCCTTTTATGTTTGGGATCTCTTTGGGTTGTTTGGCTGTTTGCTTAGGCAATCAGTTGTTGATAATTTTTTTTGTTAGTGTCAATTGTTGTTTTGTTGTAGCTTTGTGTTGTGTGCTGTGTTGTGTATTGTGTCTGGTGTCTGGTCTGTTGTGTGTGATAATTTAGACAATTCATCGATAAAAGCGCGCAACGAGCGTATCGAATGTGCATACAGCTAAATGGCTTCTAATTTATCCACTTATGCACAGGGTACTTTAAGTTTGTCATGTAGAACGCACCCAGGGAGATTTACAATTTTGACTATTAATACAGGCCTGATTTGAAGCTATGTCGATAGGTGTTGGAAGAAATTGTTTATATACAAAGCTGTAGCTCACATTGAAACGACTGTCAGATACCGAAAGTATCTTAGACATTAGAAGCTATGCGATAGGGTATTGAATGTTCGGCAAACCGAGATTATGTTTTTATTCTTTTACACTGTTTTGCCCCCGGAGCTTGTCGGCGATTGCATTTTAATTATGCCGAAATGGTAATAGCCAAGTAACAGGTATTTATTGTTGACACATTCAGTTAGCGCTTTAGTGAAAAGCTTTTTAGACTCGATCGCCTTTTGTGTGTGGTCTCCGCTTCAGATTTCTGCACAAATTCTTTACGAATTATTTCCCATGATCCATCATCGATGCCATACGCGACGACCTCAAGCAGCATTCAATCATTATTCAGCTCTTTTACACCACCCACCAAATAATACAAGACATCTGCAATAACAACAGCAACAACAACAACAAACAAACACAATTACGAGCAATGTAAGGCCAATCAAGACAACTTGGTCAATGGCTATAATTGCTAGAAATAGCTCTGGTGTTAATGCTTCGAGACGGGAATTTTCGTTTTCATTTGTGCAACAAACAATAAAAACGTGATTAAAGATGCTATGCAAAGTACTATATCAATTTGCATGGGTATCATGAGGTATATTGACTGCTGGGCTTGTTTAAACTAAATAAGAAAAGATCAGAATTATTTGTTATTATTCCCTAAGAACTCACAGGTTTTCCATTTCCTCAGTGATTCATATTGAAGAAGCCATTGGGAACGATGTCAAACTTTCCCAGTTTCTACCCTATATATGCTGCACTATTTTCGACTATCCATTAATTACTTCTCCACTTTGTGTACAGCGTATTTTTCCATCGATCAACTTTCTATCTGGAAACCCGTGTCATTGAGTTGAATCACAAAACTTGCCTTGCGAATCGTTTGGCGCTGCTTTAATGTGGGAAATAAGTCAAGCTATGGCCTCTCTACGCCCAGCCCAAAAAAAAAGAGCTTAGCTCCGGTTGCGCTCGTACTCCGGGGGCGTACTTGTATTCAGATTTAGATACAGTTGACTATTAAAATCGATGTAAGCGGAGTGTGCGCTGTGCATATAATTACAATTACAAAATTTTAAATATTTCTACATGCATTTTTATGCTTCATTTCCTGTGCACAGTCAATGGCCAATGGCCATTGGTCAATGGGAATCAGTGGAAAGCTCTTTGCTTTGCATATTAATTTTAGGGCGGCAAAGTGCATGGCGGCCATACGAAATGTGCATTTAATTGACAGGCCAAAAGAATCAAAATTAGCATAAACGGACAGCATATTTTATTTATTTCAATACAATATTTTCATTAACAAAACCGTCAAAATATTCTAGTCGAAAGTGTTTGACCAAGGGATACCCTGCAAGCCGGTGACTCGTGCTACTATATTAATTATTAATTATAAAGAAATATATTTTACACTATGAAAAACAAGAGTGAAAAATAAAGCTGTATTATTGTATAACCAAGATATATAAAAGCCAAACAGGAAAATATATTTTTGGTGCTTTTCTTACCTTAGAATAGATATGTTAAATTTAAAAAAGGAATGGGGTATAGTTTATTATGACACAGATATATTTTGCATTTGACATCTCAAGAAAATATATTTACCAAATAAATTATTGGATATTAATGAATCAATCAATAGCATCTAGCTTTTAAACATCTACACAACTTCCTGCCAACCATTTTACAGGGTATCACGTTTTGTTTTGGGTGTCTTTTTACAGTTACATCAGCCAAAATGTTTTTTTTTTATAAAGTTTTTCTGTAATGCCGCCCAAAAGCTTTCTTCTGACACATGTCCAACTACTTTTCGACCTGTTCGATCGGCTGGCCCGGTCGGCAAGTTCAATAACTTGGCGTGTGTGTGTGTGTGTGACTGTTGCACAGAGTTTGATGAATGCATTTGCCGAACGAACAAGTTTTGCATAATAACCAAAG